TGAAAACATATGTTGTAGACCAGAGAGTAGGAAGTGTTCGTAACCTTGACCCTTAAAATAAGCCAAAAGGAGAGCTTAAGTTTAAGAACATTTGGGAGTTTCATCAATGTTATGATTTCTTATAGCATAGCATGAGTGCAAATGAGAAAAAGCTCTGGCTTAAGCCATTTCATGTAATATTTTGACATATGACATGCTGATATTGCTCGTATTCGCCTTTACCTCAAGTTTCAACTGATTTTAATCACAGAAGTTACTTACCAGAAGGTGAAGGGTTGTTTCCTGCTTAGTTACAGACCCCTTACAGTTAAGCAAAAGTCGATGACTCAGTATTTCCTTAGGTATTTTGTTGGATATTGATGACTAAAGTAAACTAAATACTGGATTTGAGACGGTGTGATTTTTTTTTTTTTTTTTTTTTTTTTTTGTGTCACGGAATCAGGAGTATTTTAGGTGATAAAGAGGTTGCATGTTCTAAATATTTGTTAGTTTGATCCTGAGGTAATGGGTGAAGTGAACATATTGGGAAGACAGGATCTTTCTGGGTGCTCACCCTAACCTGGTAACTGTAACTGGACAAACGTACAAGGGAGCTTTAGTCCTGTGCAGAAGAGATGATTTCGTGTGGCATCTCTGGTTTTATGGATTAGAATCAGAAGCTGTACAGGTAACGGCTTTCATTATCAATGTTACTTTATGAATACAAATGGACAAAGGATAATCTTGCGAAAAAAAGTCTTCTGAAGTCTGGTAACAAATCTGGCTTCTTGCCTTTCTTTTAGTCTAAACTATTTGAATTTATTGTATATATAGAATATGAAATGTTTGCATCATGTCTATGTATACACACAGTCATTGTTGCGTTAACAAAGCAATCCTAAGTAACAAAACAAAAATAACACTCTTACTGTTAACAACCAGTGCATAAGAGCCCTGTCTGAGATTTTCTGCTCCTGCTCAGCTAGTTGAGAATGCTGGGTGCAACCCTTAAATGCAACAAAGCAAAAGGATTTTGTAGCTAGAAGACTGGCAGTATTGACGCTTACTGCTACCAGCTCCTCTACCGTGAAGTAATAGTTTACTGGATGTATTGAAGGCATTTTATTGGTAGCTCTTTCCTTCTCTTATTCCCCCATGCAGGAAATGGCTAATTTTCACAACTTATTTTGGTGCTGGTTCCATGTTGTAACTAGCATATCTTGCACTTAAAAAACCAAACAAAAACAAAACAAAACAACAAAAAACCCCGAAAACAAACAAACAAACTAAACCCAATCAACCAAACAAAACCCAACCCCCCTGCCAATTAAAAAGATAAAACACAAAAACAAACAAACAAGCAAAAAAAAAAAAAAAAAAGCACAAAAAACCACAAAACACAACCAAACAACCAAAAAACCCCACAACCACCAAAAAAACCCCAAACCTGAAGGCAGAGGAGAAAAGGAAAAAATGTTGAGAAGAAAAACAGGTTTTCTGACAGTTAGAGAAAGTTTGTTTCCACTAAAACTGTGTACCGGTTGAAGTTTCTGTAAAAAGTTACAAAGTTGCATTTCATTAACTAAGAAAGGGGTATGTGCATTTGATGGATTTTTGGTCAGTTGTGCATTTTGGCATGGATTTTGCTAGCATAGTGAAAGTCTCTGTAAAAATGAAGGGAAAAAAAATTAAAGTGTTTTGCATTCATCTCTAGTTGAACAGAAACTTCTGGAAATGATGATTAATGTCTTGCCAACTCTTGTTCTGTTTTTTCCTGGTTTGAGACTATTAGGAGAGGTCATTGTTCTGTCTACAGAAGCCTCCCCTTCAGAACTTGCCAGGGTCTTGCCTGTATTGTGTGTGTATATCTTTGTTTTGTTTTATTTGCTAAGCAGTTAAGCCTTAGCTGGATTTATTCAGACACAGCTCTCCTGTAATTGCTGCCAGCTTTTATTGTGCTTGGGGGGAGATCAAGGTGATCTGCAAGTTATTTGTGTTAATGAGAGTCCTGGTTAACAGAAGCCACATACCATTCACCAGTACACAGGAGAAATATAATACAGGTCATCCAGTATGTCATTAGATTTACCTGTATTTGTACAGGTAAATACTAGACGAGAAGTCACAAAGCAATATTTCAGAAATCTGTTTATAATTTAGGTCAAATTTATTATATGAACTTATGTTACTAAATAGGTCCTGTATTGCTGTTGATGCCATGTTACTAAGGCAACTTAATATTATTTGCTGTAGTGTAAGTAGTACAACTTCAGTTACAGTTAGTTTGTCTCAGGCACTTGAGATGAGCAGTCTCAACACTTTCCTCAAGTACTCTTGTCTGCAGTGAAAAAGTGGTTAAAGAGGGGGCATGGGAGACATCCTCAGGTTCCACACAACTGAGCAGGCTAAGACTTTTTTAAAAGTTAATTGATTTGCAGTATGAGTAAAAGTTGTGAACATGAGGTCCTGGATTCATGAGGGCAAAGAGCATTTAACTGCCGTGGTGGATTTTGCTGCTGTGACAGCTCTGAGCTGTTTCACTAGTAACCTTGTTGGGGAATGCTGTCACTGAGTGACCATTTTTGACAGCCTCACATGCTCTCTTTGAAGCTGGGGAATTTATCAATAGTGAATACTTTTTCAGGGGGAAAAAAATAAAAAGCACCTTGGTCAATGTGCTATTAAACTTGCTGCTTTGGGAGACATGGTGTAGCACTAGTACCTGCCATACTATCATTGAAGGATGGTCACGACTTTTATTATACAGACCATTTTGTAAAAATTTTTTACATTTTTCTATAAATCCCTTCTGTGGATGCTACTGAGCTAGTGCAGCCTGAGTAGAGTATTTGCAGCTATCTAGCAAAAAGAAAAAAGTACACCAACTGAGAATTTTTAACTTGCTGAATTGTACTATATTTCATAGTATCTACTGCTGTTCTGTAACTCTGCACTTTCTTTTTAAATGCATTTTATGGATTGCTCATGGTGTATAATACTGAGCATAACCATTATTTTTGCTCTGCTCCTTGGAGATGGAGTTGCTCCCACTTCTGATACATGCAAACCACACAGCTTTACTTCTGTGCACTGCCTTGGGCACAATCTCATGTAAAACACAGTCTTTGTAGCCGCCTTGTATTTTCAGGCAACATGTGAGATTTCCTTTTATTTTTTGTACTGGTTATAGACTGGTGGTTCCCAAAATGTCTCCAGCTGTGAGCTCGCCTTCTGTCAGGACTGTGGCCTCAGTAGAGGTGTGAAGAGTTGGGTATCTCTGGGGTGGTGGCTTAGGTTCTGATTGCTGCAGCTGTCTTGATTGTGGCTGGTACAGAATCCCAAGTGCTTGAAGTTTTCTTGATTGCACAAACATACCAATAATATCCAGGAGGCCAACTTGGGTGAAACTTCATTGATAACTAGTGAGGCCTGAAGTAGGACATCTTCCTGGGTCCCCAGCAGAACGCATCCCACTGGTTTTTCAGAGCTGTGTTGTGGAGGTGGGTGATTTCCTGTCTCCCACCTCCTTCCTCTTCCCTCCTCCTCCCGGGCTTTGAGCTTCTTGTTCTCAGAGCCGGACTTAGGGCTGACTCTTCCACAGCAGAAGTTACAGCTTAATTTCTCTGGCAAATCACTTAAATTCTAAATCAGCATTTAGGGACTGCTTGACTGTAGTGCTTCCCAATTCCAGTCAGTCATGTTGGTGACCAATGCTTCTAACACATCATCATCTGCAAATATTTATGGACTGCTCTGTTTTCTTCTCTTTCATGACATAATAATGAGCAACTGAATACTGATTTGTGTATCTGTTTGTGTAGTGAACAAATTCTGCCTTTGTATGTAACTTAAAAAAAAATATTTAGGAATACCAAGAGGTGGTACACTTCAGCTTTACAAGGAAGAGGTCCCTCTGCATTGTGAGAGTAACTGGATGTTAAGCAAACCAAAATCCACTTGGCTGGGAGAGGTGTTCCCCAGGGGCAGCCGGTGGCAGAGCTCTGCTGGACTGAAATCCAGTATTGTAGCTGGTAGGAGCTGAGACTAATGCTGTAAATCCATCAGGTTTTGGGACTGTGGATTTGGGAAAAAACCTCCAAGGGAAGATTTGCATTTAAAAAGAAGAGTATTTCCCCTTAAACTTAAATGTGCTTTGGGAACAAGGTAAGCCTGAGGATGGCATCTATCAAAGACTATGAGGGAAGTTTGGAGAATTAGCATGGCTTGGCACTTGCTGACCAATAAGAAATAAAAATGGAAAACATAAAAGCCAAATCATTTGTACATAGCTTTAATGTATTGTAGTGATTTACTTCCTATATCCAACTCTGGTCATAGATCACTGAGTAACTTTTAATACTAGTGTTGGAGTAAGTGAAGGAAAGAGGAAGGAGGAACACATACACACATACCCATACACCCCCAAACCCACATCAAACAAGTGATGTAAGGGCAAGCCCTCACTAGCTCCCCCATGTTCTCCTGGAACCATAGGGTGTCTACACTAGCTTTGCCAAAACTGTTACTGGTGGGATTTTATATAATAGCAGTGAGAAATACTGTTTTTACAGAAGTGTAATATTTCCTTATACTTGTATTACATGCCTTAGTTCTTCCCTCATCAGATGTTTGTTCCTTTATGCTTTTGTACATGCTTTGTGTGAACTATTTTTAAAATGTTGCCATGTGCTGTATACTGATAAATGCAGTGGTAAGCTGTGGATGCTCTTGAGTGGCTGGGGAAAAAAGAACTTTGTGTAGTTCTGAAAATGTTTGCTGTTTTTCAGCAACAAATAACTTCTAAGATAGGTTACATCTGAAGTGAAAACTTGAAGGCTACTCTTGGTGTTGTATGAGATATACAGATGATCAGAATGATGATACCTCTGGCAATGTTTGCGGTTATTTCTGTTATGCTGGGTTGGGGTTTTTTGTGTTTTTTTTTTTTTTTTTTTTTTTGCATAAAATTGGATGATTAGAAAGAGCAAGTGGGATGATGTATGAAATCTTGGTTTTGATAGATTTCCAGAAGAAGCAGCCAGATGATGACTCTACTCCCAGCACAAGCAACAGCCAGTCAGATTTGTTCTCTGGAGAAACGAACAGTGACAACAGCAATACCTCTCTAACCACGCAGGCCGCTAACTCCAACCAGCAACTTTTGACAGAACTGAATGTAACTTCACCGAGCAAAGAGGAATGTAAGTGTACAAGTCCTAAGTGACAGCAAAGGAGGCATAAACATTTTGCTTTGTTCTCAAGCTTATGTTTCACTGACTCTCCTTTGGAAGTAAATGGCCTGTCTTTTGGGGCAAAGTGAAACGTTAGAAGTTATTCACAAAGTAGACGTTGATGGCTTGAGCCGAAGAGCAAATTAAAAAGGGTCACAGGAGTTTCTAACTAAGTTTACAGCTGTTTGAAGTGCAGCATAAGGTTTAATTATGATTTTGAGGCACTATCATTTTGAGAAAATCCTTCTCATGCTACTGGTAAACTAATATATCTATTCTAAGATAAACACCAGTATCTTGTGAAATTTTACTTTAAAACCTTTTGGGTTTTAATTATTGCAGTTGCACATAGTACTGACTGTAATGCATGTTTGTCCAGACTGCTGCTAGGTTACTTGCATAAAACTTCAGTTTCATGTGGTAATTGATTTCTTTCATGACCCATCTTCTTTACTGAACTCTGTCAGGCAAAAATTCTCCCTGAAGGTAAGCTAAGTTGTTCATGATTATCAAAGACAGTGAGATAAAGTTGTCTTTTAAATTATTCTAAACCTCTGTGTAAGTTTATCCTGTGTCTAATATATTGAGTTTTAAAATCTGCATTCTGCAACTTAAGTGCAAATGTATAATTTGTAGTTTCATTTTCTTCCAACTGTAGTTTTATTTTGGAAGGTGCTGTATGGAGTGATTCCCTCTTGAGCTGAGTTTACTTTATGTTGTAAATAGATGTACACATTGCAAGAAAAACATGCTTATTTTTAGTAGGAAATCTACAAGAGCTGCTCTTCAACACTGAGGCAACTGCTGGAAATAACAATATTGACAAAGCACTAGGACTAAAGAATCTTTAATATGCTACACTTGTTTACACTTGTGTTAACTGTTTGCATAGGATTGTTTTGCTGAGTTGCCAAAGTATTTATTCTGTTTATGGGTATGTAGACTTTGCATATATTCTTTTCACTTATGAAGATTGGCTGTGGACAAAGCACAAAGTGTCATTTTGGGATTGTGGTAGTTTATTAGACTAAACTAAAAATTTTAAATTGAGTTTCTGTTTTCTATCTGTCTGTGAGAATATTGTCAGAAATATAGCAGGGTTCAAATGTGAATGTACTGATACCAGTTCTTGTAATAAGAGTAAACTTGCTGTGTAACTCTTGTCTCTCCTTCGCATACACAGTTGCTGCTGACCACCCATCATCTCTTCCTTCTGTCCAGCGCTTCTTCCGGGGAAACCTGTAGTCTGCTGTAAAAGCCAGGCCTTAAAACAACCTTTTTAGAGAATTCAGCAAAGCACTATGCTTCAGCAACGCATTTGGGCCTTCGCAGGGGAGGGGGCTTCAGCACCTCTGCTGGATTATTAGCCAGGATCTACCGTTTGGTGTTACAGGATGCTTCTCCAGTGCTTACTGGGTCAGGTTTTCTGAAAATTTGTTCAGTTAGGAATTAAATTGTATTACAGTAAAGTGTTTCTGTTGTGGCTGAGAAGGACTTGAGGGTAAGTGGGAAGGCGATTACAAGGATGGGAAGAAGGGAAGGAAATTAAATAGTGTCCTTCATCCGGAATTGCTGCAAGCTTGTGAACATTCACTGAAGGTGATGGATATTAGGCAGCACAGCCTGCAGAGCATTTGAAAATATTACCTATTAAAAATTTTCTTTATCACTTCCTGCTGGGGTGATCTTCTTAAGTGAAATACAGTGGAGAGATCTATTTACAGCTTGAGCTCTCTCTGTCTTCTCTTGTATTCCCACTACCTCTTTAATAAAACTTAATATAATTTATCAGAAATAATTATACACAGATGGAGCTTTTCTGATGGATAATGGCCTCAGATTCCTTCTTGTAATGAAGAATGCTGAAACTTTAACTGTCTTTTTGATTTTTAAATTGGGAGTGTCTTTTTCTGTGCAATAATTATTTTGCAGCAAGTTATATAAAACATGCACTGCTCTGATTACAGCTGTGTTCTTCAAAGACTGGTATCTTGCAGTGCCATGGGACGATGTACAGCTATGTGCTGTTCTGAATAGATTTGTGGTAATTCACCAAAAACCAATTTATGGGATCATTATGGTAATCCCTATCAAAGTGTGGAAAGATTGGAGTACTCGGAAGGATTCTCGTGATGCATTCCATGCCTTTTTCTTTTTCAAGCTTTGGAGAAGAGTCTCACATTGAGGCATTTGCCATGGTACTTGAGTCCATAGGGTAAACATATTGGACAGAATTGCAGCAAGTCATTTAGGCAATTAACAAATTCCATTTATATTGTGACAATCGAAGGGAACCAAAGAAATCTCATGTGATAAGATTCATATTCTGTGTCAGAGGAAGCAAAGGGATGGTTTGTACTTGTTTTTGAGTAGCCATTTCCTTTTTTAACACAGAATGAATGATATAGGAGAAGAGGACCTTGAACTGGATTTTGCAGGAGTTCATTTTGACAATACGCAAGTTTTTCTGCCTTTGTTACTGTTTTGATTTACTGTCAGAGTTGTATTTGAATTCCTGAGTGTCTTACATACACAACCGGGTTGTAGTTTCTTTTCATTTCCTGCCACCCTTACTTCTGAACAGTTACCTACCCCAGTGGCTGCTTTGCTGATTAATATCTCTCCCCCTAGTAGATGAAAAGTAGTTCTCAGTCTTAGTTACAGTCACCAAAGATGTGTTAGAGATTTGTGCCCAGCGACACTGATGTGAGCTTCAGGACTTTTTTTGATCCTTCACACGGGTTTTGTTTTTATGAAGTATTACTTTTCACTAATTTCCAAAAAAAGCTGTTGCAATTTAGCAGGAAAAACATTCTTTTTTTTTTTTTTTCCTGCCACATATGCTTCTTGAGTTGCCTTTTTCTATCCATCAGTTGCAGTCAGTTTTCTGAAATAAACTTCTGCAGACAAGGAATATATTGATATTAGGGTAGCTTTAGTAAGTCTAGATATGCATGGATTTTAATGGTCTGTTTCTCAACAGATAGTTAAATCGGTCTAACTTTCATTCTGCTGCTGCTTTACGTGCAGATAAGGTTCTCTGTTCAATTTCTTATATATTTTTCATCTATTCTCATTTTTCCCTTCCACCTCCTCTTCATTTAGGAGGTCCTACGGGTAGTTATTTCAGTGTCAGTCACCATATGAGCCAGTTGCTATGTCAAAGATTCCCTTTTCTTACTGAGTGGGCAGGGGTTTTGTTTATTGGCAATGATGCTCGCTTCTCTCTTTTCCTAACTCCAGCCACCAGCACTCTTAAAAAGATTAGCTTATTAAGGAAGGCTTTATGTATTATGGTAAAGAAAAGGTCACACTGCACGTGGAATAATTTTGCTTAGTTTCAGGCCTTCACTGCTTTCTTTGGGGCTGTCACATTATTTTTCTGTCACTGTATGAGTAGACCTAAAGCTGACACTGTGCAGGTTTAAAACTAACTGTGTTATGTGACAGGAGAAATGTCAATGTGAACAACTCCAACTCTGGCAGCTGAGTCAGATTTGATATTTCAGTAGCTCTTGTCTTCAGTTGACACAATTTTATTTTAATTATGTGCTTAACTCTTCCTGGCCTCCTTGAATTAGCAAGAACCACAACTGAAAAAGGACAGAAGGAATATCTGATGTTTCTAGAACAGTTAAATGCTCTACATGTCTACAGTGAAGACTTTATAAGAAAATACACAAAGATCTGAGATATTCTTGTAAATGTCAAAAAATACACTGGAGATTTCATCCCAGGAAGAAGGTGATGAGCCTTGACCACACCTTACCTCTGTGTGTGCTGAAATTTAGATGCTTAAATATGAATCTTCAGGACTGAATGTCTGTAAATTTTAGCTAGTTATTGTATACCCTCCATAATTTCAGCCGTTGCATGTCCAGCTAAGTGTTTAAAACATCAATAGTTTATCTCAAAACCTTAAATTTTCAAGGCAAGTTTGAAGAATGCTTTAAAACATTGTTTATTTTATTAAGCGTTTGCATGTGCTGCAAGCACTGAAATGCCTCTGATTATGAAGTTATTTTGGTGAAGTTACTTTTTGTATATGAAGTGTACTACATCTGAGATAGAGATGCACCAGACTTCTGTAAAATATCTCTGGCAGAAAGGTGAGAGATTGTTTTTTCTACTGAACCTATTGGATGTTTATACTCTGAATTTCATGGCTTTTTGAAGCATGACTGTGTAAAAAGCCACATAGACTATAGTACTAGAAAAGTAATGATATTTTTTCTGTCTGTGGAATAAAAAGAATAATCTTACATCAGTTTTTTCAACATAACCTTATGAAAAAATGGATAAACAAGTGCATCCTTTCTTTTCTTTCTTTTTTGTTGAATGGCCTTTTCTCTGATACTATGCAAAAGGTTTGTACCAATTTATAATGACTTCACAGTTTTTGCATTTTGTCTGGGTTTGTCAGCAGTCAGAGATGACATCTTTCCTATGTATGCTCTGAAAATACTTCATATTTTGAATTGTTATTGTGATATCCTGAATTGTATTTGGTACCTTTTAAGTAAGGACAGTGATTTTTAAAATGACAGTTGCTCTTCGATTCTATTCATTGTGTACTTTTCTAAATGCCCTGGCTTTGAGAATTCAGTTGCTCATTGCAGTAGGTGTCAGTTTTGTACATCCTGTCTTTTTTTTTTTCTAATTCTGGTTATGGGGAACTTTGTTTTCTGATTCATCTCTGACTGAAAGTTACATACATACTCACTTTTATAAAGTATTAAGGGTATACACAGACCAAGCTACCTGCCTATTTTTGTCTTACTTGTCACAGATGGTTGTAGAAAATAATTTGCTTTGTTGCTAACCTGATTTATTCTGATACCAATTTGTATGTTTTTCTCTGATCCAAAAGAATGCAGTAACTGTTGAAGTTATGCTGAGCTACAAAACTAGCCTATCTGACCCACATGATTTAATACTGCAGTTAAACTCGTACCCAGGCATAACTGAGA